GGCGTTGTGGGGGTTTTATTTTTATTTTCCCCCCTCTTTTGGGAACAAACACAAAATTAGAGATGATGAAAGATAAAAACTAACACATATTTATTAAATGGTTTTACAAACAATCAATATAATAATTCCATGTTTACAAAATAGTAATCAGGCTAGGTAAAGTGCTGCAAAATATTTTAAATAAAGACATTTTGTAATTTTCCAGTTTCTGGTTACCTGGTGTTACTTACAGTCTGTGAACGCTGCTCGTGTGCTGGGAACAGACATGGAGACTTAACAAGGACTTTGTTCAGAAGGCTGAAACAGTCTGGGAAAAGTGCAAAACGAACAAAAAAACAAAACAAGTATTTCTTCAGATCCTACTACTTTGGGTTACAATTATTTCCCCTCCTCTGCATAGAATACTTTTTTTTTTTCAGGAACAGACTGAAGAATGGCAAGTGGGCATGCAGTACGTACACATGGAAAGCCCTGTGTGCTGAAAACAGGTGCTTTTACACCGGATTTGACACATGTAAGGCCACCGATCACACAGAGACCGCTCTGTCTGTCTGTCTGTCATCCAGATGAACTAATGCAAGAGGAAACTTTCCAAGTGCCAAGAGCTGAACTGCACCCTGCAGACCCTGCCCTGACAAATGATGTTTTCTGCCGGCAGGGATGTGTGAAGAAGCCACAGCAAGGAGAGGGAGGGTGAATGCTTTAACCGTGCTGCTGCAGAAATGCACGGCACCCTCGAGTTTCCTGCCAAGTAAGAGCACAAAAGGTAACACAGGCACCTGCTCACACCCCCACGCTCTCTGATCTCGCCCTCTGCGCTCACTCTGCTGCCTTTTGACAGGGAATGGCCTGCAGGCAGGCTTTCTGCAGAACAAACACACGTTTCAAGGCTATGTGCTACCTCATACTCGTTCGCTTTTCTTCTTGTCCATGTATTCAATTCTGGCAGATGGGAAGGTGACGACCAGTGCTTGCTGTGGACCAATGTGACGGGAATTTTTAAGTAACTGCTCTTTTGCGGCTGCTGCAAGAATACAGCAAAATGAAGGTTTCTTGAGGGATCTCCAACTGAAGGCAGTGTGGAAGGGATCTCACCAAGGAGAGAAATGTTGTTGTTGTGTTCTGCTGTCAAAACTGCTGGCAGTGGAATGTATCGTGTCTGAGCAACGTGTTTCTTACGTGTGGCTGTTTGGGAGGGAAGAGGTGATTTTTTGCAGAAAACGAAGCATCTTTCACTACCTAAGAAGGAATATTAAATGTTACAGAATTATCTCCTACCCATTACACCGTATTTGGGGACTTGAATGTAATTGACAACTAGGAGAAGACTCAAATAAGCAATTATGCCCCTAAACTTTAATGATTTGCTTGTTCAAGTTTTGCTCTGTTTTTCTTTCTGAAAAATAAAAAAAGAGAGACCTGTACTGGAGAAAAATCAGTCTATTTTTCTGTCTTGAAACCAGAAAATGGATCATTTACAAAAAGTCCAAGAAACTCCTCCAACTGCTTCTCCTTCTTGATCTAATCTGTGATCTATAAGAGCGCCCCTGCATTACGTACTTTTATAACCACAAGTATTCTTCATAAAACAACAATAAAGTGCACGCTGTTATAATGCCACCATTGACAGCCAGCTAGTCCGTCCCATCCATCCCCTCCAGAAAAGCCTGTGAAGGACGGCTCCCTCCCGCCTCTCCCCATCCCATAGCCCGTGTCCCCTCCTGGCACCAGTACTGCTGTACAAGGAAGCACACAGTTGGATGGGAGTCCTACAAAGCTTCATCAGCAACTTGGAAGTTGCACTCTTCTCGCTGTATAGATTGTCCTAAATATGCAGCAAGGAAACGAGGCTTTTAACTCATCTGAGAAATTTAAATGACCTTTACACTTACTGATTTCCCAGCAAAAGCTTATTTTTTATTTTTATTTTTTCAAATGGGAAGGACAGGCTGGGAGAAGCCTAAAAGGAAACTTAACTACCAGCGCTGTGGAAGTGATGCGGCCATGGTTTTTTAGTAATTTCCAGAAACTCGCTTTTAACGTTAAGATGTTGTAATTTCAAAAGCTGCATCTTGTGGGATCTATATCCAGCATCCACCTACTTCATAATGGATTTGATAATGAAGGCACAGGCTCACTTTTTTACTGGTAAAGGACAGCAAACACCGCCAATATGCATTACTGACACAAAAGCACAAGCAACAATAAAGCTAGTGTCAAAAATCCTCAACATCTTTTCTCTCACCACAATCTTTTTGGCCGTCTGCCTATTTTTTCACCTCGGAAACAAAACCAAATTAAAATAGAGTTAACTTTAAACACAGGTTTACCTACACATAAATGTTAGTGGAAGATCTTTATAATCTGTTGCTGTACTTTCTGAGGGTCCTAGATAGCAGTATTCACCTCTTCAAATGCCAGCAAATGGAAAATCACTTGAGTAGTAGTAGCAGCTGACATGGTCCCTCAACTTTGCTAACAGCTTACATCACATTTAACAAACTAGCTTTACTTCTTCCTATTTCTTTGATTACTATTGCTTGGTATTGCAATGCAATTTTGTCACAGGTGAAAAAAAAAAGCCCTAGCAAAAGTTAAATAAGTTACGTGCTTAAGATCCCATGCCACTCATTCAGCATGTGTGGAGTTTGAACTGGCAAATAACTTCAACAAGTTCTCTTTTGTTTGTTTTAAATTACATGCCATGAAGAAGATTCTGAATGTCTTCTAAAGCAAATGACCTCACCAAGTACTTTTAAGTATCTTAAAAGATTCAGCTTGCAACGCAACTTTTGTTCCAAGTGATGGCAGCTGTCTTGGGAAAAAAATAAAAACAACAAACCAAACCCCACAGAATCTCCAATTAAGGAAGTAGCACCTAAAAAAGCCTTTTATTTTTTTTAAACTCTAACCTCTATTCCAAACAATAACTACCTTCACCTGCTCCCAAAAAGGTTGTTGGGTGTACATGATATTAACTGTTAAATATAAAAATGTGTTGGCTGACTTTACATGGGCAATACTGCCAAGGACCAGACTCTATCAAGGAACACAGCAGGTGCTCAGTCAAATAGCATGCCACTTTACAACTCTACAAGCCTAAAACAGCATAAAACTTGGAAATGCATCACCATATCCAAAATAATTCAAAGGTTTTAAGAACGAAATCAACTTCTTTGATCGTGTTGCACACATTCTTTAACTAGAGTTGTGCTGGTTAATGTGTTTCACCTAGAGTAGATGCACTTACACATAATGCAAACTGCAGGGATTCATACTTCTTGGTGTGATTGAAGGAGGTGAGATTTAGTTAATCTCATTGCAGTCCTCTGATTACTCACCCTCACTGTGTGAATCATTAATTGTATTACATGGTTGGCAAGCAAGAGTAAATAAATTGCTGATGTTGAAAATTTGGCTCAAGACCCCAAAATAGATGGTTGGCAAAAAGATGAAAAAACCTCTCCCCCAACTCTTTTGAACAACTGACTTCCAACACTCATCTGCAACCAAACCGTGGATAGATAATTCATTTCCATGCTATTACATTGAGGTATAACTACCAGAAACATTAAATTATCAGTATCAACTGATATTTATCCAGTTAATTCACTCTGCATAAGGGAAATTATTACAACACATCTAAAGTGATAGTTAAAGCTTACAGCTCAGAATTCTCCTTTTTTTTTTTCATTTGATTTTTTGTGTGTTTTATGTTTAATTTCTTCTATGTTACCAGTGGAGATTTCCAGGTTAATGATTTCCAAGCAGATTTGAAAGGAAGCCTGAAGACTTTTTCTTTTCCTGGGATTCTGCTTCTTGGCCTTGTGAAAGTCCCAATTCTTTCTCAATCTGCTCAAGCTCAGACTGGTCAAGCAGTTCAAAATCGTCACCTTCCTCTGTGTCTGTCTCCTCGCTCAAACTGGACACTGCCCGTGAGGGAGCTTGCTGTGCGGGCTGCAACTGCTCTTTGATGGCAGCAGACACCGCAGCTGCGATGACATCCCCAGCAATGCCACTCATTAAATTAAAGGTTTGGTCACTGGTCAAAGGCAAGGAGAGCCCTGCAGTGGACGGTCTCTCTTTGCTCTGTCTGGGAGCATGATCCACCTTGAAATAGGTTTGTTCTGTTTTCCGTTTCTGCTGGATGGGCATACCAATGCTTGAGTCATCGTCATCATTTGTTCCAGCACCGTTTTCTAAAGAGGGAAATTCTGAAAGATCTCTAGCGAATGCTTCTTCATGATCACTCGGTCGGTCAAAATCTATGACAGGGTTAAAAGAAGGAAACAGTGTTAGTGAACACAAAAGGCTTCCCAATAAAGCAGACAAATATTAAAAAAGCGTTCCTTTGAATACATTCACTAATCCATAGTCTAGTAGTCTTCTGTAGTCTCAATGCACGGGAGATTTTTGTGACACCTAAAATAAAATGGTTTTAAAGTTGTAAATCTAGTACCACAAATCACCTGGTATCAGCCTAACTCAGAAAGTTATTTGAGGAAATTATCTTTTTAATATAGTATCTAGCTGTATATGTAACAACCCAAGCAAATCTTTAACACAGCTAGTTCTAAATATAACAGCCACAGAGTCCTAGAATTTATGGTGCATGAACAGGTCTCTAAACTTTTTCTTTTCAATATATATAAATTACAAATATGGAAGCATGCACAAATGTATTACAAGCCTTTAATACACTTGTAGAATTAAAAAAAAGAATGTTTATGTGTTTAAACGAAGATATTAAACCAGTGTAAAGACTTAATTGATAACTTTTTCTGTTCTTGACCAATGCTTGTATTAAACAGGAAACAGAAAATGGAAACTACAGATGACTGGGATTGTTTCATGTTTTCAAGAGGATAAAAAGCAGAATGTAAACAAATAAAAGATTAGACTTTAATGGCTGCATAAATGGCATATTTGTTTTTAGAAATGTGTAAAACATACTGGACAGTACATGGCCTGTGGAAGAGGCCTAAATGAGCATAAGGGAATTCTTTGATCTAGTATTTGTATAAGAACATAAAAAATAATGAGTTTGAACTTACTTTCTATGGAAACAAGCAATAGGAGCATTCATAAGGGCTAAGGAAATGAATCCTAAAAATGTCTGATATGTCATTTTCTCAGTTTTCTTTAGGAAAAACAAGCTGGGAAGGTGAGGAGGAAGGGTTGTGCTGTAGGCAGAGTGGTGGCTCAAATGCACAGAGCTTTGAGAGGAGATGAGCCAGTCCTCAGATGCATCCCATCTGGTCTTGCACTTGTGTGTATGTCCCATTTGCTGAAAAGCTCCATAGAGGAGAAGAGTGGATGTTGTTTATTGTTCACTTAGCAAGGCCTTTAATGCAGTTTCCCACCTTATCCTTACAGCCAAACTGGTGAGCAGACTGGGTAAGTGAACTGCAAGGTGGGTGGAAAATTGGCCCTACTGCCAGTGATACAAGGTCCAACTGGAGGCCAGTTATTAGTGGTGTCTCCCAACGGTACTGCAGCCAAAAGTGTTCAATGTTTTTATTAATGACTTAGATGACAGGATGGAGTGCACCCTCAGCAAGTTCACAGGCAGACAGGAATTGCTCTGGGAGAGGTGTATTTGATATTCTGGAAGGCAGGGCCCTCAAAGGGATCTCGACAGGCTGGAAAAATGAACAGGCTGAAAAGCAACATCAGGAAATTCAACAGAAGCAAATGTGAAGCCCTGCATCTGGAATGGAATAATCTGTGCAGCAGTACAGGTTGGGGCAACGAGACAGAAAGCAGCTTTCAAGAAGAAGACCTGTGAACGGCAAGTCAGTGAGATATGCCCTTGCAGTGAGGAAGGCCAACCTCATACTGAGCTATATTAGCAAAAATTAAGTCGGAAAATCAATGGGAGGGATTTTTCCTCTCTATTCAGCACTCGAGAGTGCACATCTGGAGTACTTTGACCAGTTTTGTCCTCACATAGTTGTCTTTAACTACCTAATGGGAAGGTATAGAGAAGATGAGGCCTGACTCTTCTTAAACGTGCACAGTGGAAGGTTGCTAGTAAACTGAAACATAGGAAATTTTGACTCACTACAAGAAAACACTTTTTCATGATGAGGGTGAATATTGAAAAAGGCTGTCCGGGGAGGCTGCTGAATCTCTACCACTGGAGATGCTCAGAATTCAACTGGTCACAGCCCTGAGCAATTGGATCAAGCTGAATCTGCTTTGAATAGGAGGTTAGATGAAGTGACTCATTCCAACAATGACTCATTCCAACTTATGATTCTGTGATTTACAACTTGAAATATTAAACAAATAATTCATATTATTAATTTGGTCTGTATAATGTCATTAAGTAATATCACCCTACCTGTCATTTACAGTGAACTTTCCCTAGTTCAAGAGGAGAAAAGCAAGACAAGAAGAGCAACAAATCCATAGCTAAGATTACACCAATCTACTGTTGAATTGAATCTTTATTCAGGCAAAGTGTTAAGTGAAAGCTTAGTCTGTAAAAAGTAAGAACTTAAAAGTTCTGGTCATGACCAAAACAAGTGCTTGAGAATCTTTTCCTACTCTTAGTCTTCATGTCTCACTTAGGGTCATTGCTGGCTGTCTTCATCAGCATTCTAGTAAATAAAACCTAATAATACTTTTCTTAATTGGCTGTTTAGCAATTTGAAGTATGCACTTCTTCCTCAGCTTTTATTTGTATAGCTTACCCACAAAAGCATTGGAACTAACTTAAAAGATTTCCTTGTCTAAAAGGTTTGGTGGAAGAGAGAACTAAATCTGCCACTTACTGAATGTGTCGGATTTACCTACCACTACTTATTTATTTAGACACTCATGTACTTTATTATTTTTAAGATGAGGACAGCTCTTACACAAGATGTATCCAAAATTATATAAAACACTGCAATCAATTTTAAATTCATTGTAGGACAAAACACTTTTGTCCTCGAGTTCTCAGGTAATTTTCAGGTAACTTACATGACTGCAATTCATTGATGAAATAGATGGAGCCATTACGTACCATCAGATGTGTCTGTCTGTGGAGAATACCCCTCGGATAAGTTAAAGGTCCCATTATCGGTCCAAGATACTTCTGATACATCTGTGTCGGACACGGACAGCTCTTTGGCAACAACTGCAGGACTAACCTAAACATAAAAAAGTCCCATGCATGGTATTCCTAGACTCAAAAACTTAACCCTATAGGAAGCCAATGCTTAGATACTGAAAAAGAAGCCTCTTGCATGTCATAGCAACACAAATTGCCTCCTATTTAAGCTTTAATTGTAGAAATACAAAAATAATAGGAGCATACAATACTTAGAGGTGAAGCATCCCTCTCTGCAATAATGGAAAGCTGTATTATACTAAAGTAGCATAGTTATTCATTCTGAAAGTAATAACCTACTGTAATGAAAGCAGAATGAGCCTGCAAATACAAAATATGCATAAATGTAAATAAATGCATAATCTTGGATCAATCCCCCCCTTATCTATAAGTAAAAAATTAGCTAAATGAAAAAAATAATTATCCTTTATGAATTTATCCAACAATATTCAATTACGTCAGCTACGATTTTTTATTCAATGGGATACATTTTTTTTTCAGAATACAAAACTACCTTTGAAGCGATCACTGTCAAAGTTAGGTTCTATGCACTACTGATCGAAAACTGCGTAAGAATTCCTACAAAACTGTTTTTTTAATCTCAACCAGTGTTCTGATTATAAAGGGAAAACCTTTGCCATAGAGTTATTTAGAACATTAAGAGAGGAGATATTAAAGTGTTCTCATTCATGTTTGGAAAGATATTTACAGATAATGTACTGATTTACACTATCATTGAAAATGATCAGACAAGTGATTACAAAAATATCTGAAAATTTATGTAAGTTTTCTATGGCCATTTCTCTTTTATATTTTATTTTCATAAACAATTAACTGCAACTTCACTGTTGCAAATAAAAAGAGCTGCCTTTGCTATTAAATTCTATTTTAATCATTGTATAGCCAACACAAGATAAACACATTCTTATTTTAGTAGGCCAAAGAAACCATTACTTTGAAGGCCAGAAGTCACAAATGCACTAAGTTAATAGTGTAAGCCTAAAGATGGAGACTATGAATCGCTTTTAAAGCACACTGCTTAGTTCAGGAACACAGCCTTCTGAGCAGGTTAAAGTCTTCCACAGAAAAGAGACAGTAGCCTAGGTACTCTCCATTATCTATACAGATTTTAAAAGCAAGATAGGGCTCACTGAAAAAAGTCACCTTAGGACACAGGGCTGATATGTCTAATTCACTGTCATCTTCTGTGGGTTTTGTTTTTGCTGTTTCTGAAAGACAAAAACATATTTTTTATCCTACTCGTGACAGCAGACTCCAAGGTGCAGTGTGCGTTCTCTGTCACACAGCTTGCACAGCACAGTACACTTTCACCTGTTGACACAGTGCATCGTTTACACAATACGCTACTAAGGAGCGGGAAAAAAAGGCTGATTGAGGGGCTAGATATTTAGCAAAATACATCATGCAGCAGGAGGGCGACTTTTGCTCTAAAACTCATTCCAACACATTTATTTACTCTGAAGTCTCTGTTGCTCACCACAATATAATGTTCTCTGGCAATATACATCTATCTATCTTTTCAACTACGCTGCTGGTACAATGCACAGCTGTAACATGCTGTTAAAACAGGCCCTGCAGTTATCCCAGCACATTACTTTTACATGAGAACATGCAATTTTCTGGATAATTGCATGCAATCTTCATTCACAAAACATTTCTTCTTCTTTGCACCCAGTTCTCCCGGATTCACAACATTTATATGCAAATATGCATATGAAGCATCCTCTGAAATCTGGTAGAATGTTGCTCCTTACAGATGAACAGAGACACAAATTTTGCCTCCTCTCTCTGTCTGAGAATAGCCTCGTGAATATTTTAAACCAATATAAGCTGAAAAACACAGTCATATTAACCTTGGCTGCCTATTTTCGCAACTAGCTATTTCCTCCCTCATACCAGTACAAGGGTTTGTGAACCCAAGTGGTGAAGCAAGGTAGGGAACTTGAGTTAAGTTAAACCCGAGTGTGAGAGGCAGTAAAGGATGAATCTAATCTCAAACATTTTCCCAGTGCTGGCCTATGAAATTTATTAAACAACAGTCTGATCTCTCTCTCTCTCTCTGCCAGTTTCACTTAAAAGTAGAATAAGGTGGAATAATACATGAAATAAAATTTTCAATGCATTATTCCTTATTTCCAACATCTACTGCATCTTATGTAAGAGAAGGGGAAAAGGCAGATGGTTCCTCTCACTGTGTATAGGAACAGCACATTGTATGGTGAATGCTTACAAGAAATGGATGTTCTATAGCAGATATGAAATCTACTGCTGTAACATTAACTAAAAAGGGTAGGCTACCTGCAAGTAATGTGGCTACACTACAAAGTTTTAATTACCAAAACTGTAGTACACACAAAAGTAAACTAAAGTCAACATAGTTCATACAAATATTTTTCTTGAAATAGCTTTATTACTTAAAATCTAAACGTTTCTAATGTTATAAAGATTTTGGGTGAGATAGGTGAGATTTTTTTTTAACTGATTTCTCTCCTGTCTAACTAAAAACTTTAATTAATTTGTTGCTACTATCCTCCTGCAATTCTTAAATGTTTATGGAGTATCAGGGGAAGGAAACAAAGTCTTGTTGCTGTTGGGAATGAAAACAAGGCAGGTTTAGATACTGGAACAGAGTGCAGTCTCTTACTGAAAATTCTGTTATGTACTCATTTTGTGTCTTGACAGGGTCCCTTCTCCTGGATGAGTCTGCCTTATCTAAACAGACATGAGCACTGCATACTTTACAGCAAGTACCTTTTTCTGAAAACCTACAAACAGTACATCTAATCTAGTATGAAGCGAGCCATCAGTCTTCCTTGTTTGCTTTTGTTTTACCATACCAAGATGTCTGTGTTACATTATCACTCCTTATAAAGCTTAGAATGGTTGGCCAGGTTCAAAGCCAGAAATACCTTTACAATTGGCTTCACAGGACAAATCAAACTGTCTGCAAGGTAATGAAATTTTCTCTGCATAGAGAAATACATTACTTGGGACTATACTTAATTACTCACCAGATCTCTCTTTTTTCTTTTGGTTGATATATTCCACTATTCCAAAATCTAGTTTCATCAGAACAGTCTTAATTTTGTAGCAGACTTTCTGTCCAAATTCATTGCACTTAAGGAAGGGACATAAAAAGGCACACAAAACTGTGATAAAAATGAAGACAGAGAGAAAAATTGCATTGAAATATTGCTTTATAAGAAGTTACTCAAGAAAGATTAAACAATGCATTTGTATAAGATAACTACTATGTTTAAATAATATAATTAGTTTTACATAAAAAAGCACCACGAATTGCCCGTGTCAGACAAACTGTTAATGTCAAATCAAGTTTCTAGGAGCCATTCCTACTAGTTGCAAAAAATACCATTGCATTCATATCAACTGACACCTTTTTTACTTCTAGTAAGGCACAATTTATGATTACTGTAACATTTATCATTATCTTGATTTGGTCAGATTTTGATATCTTTACCTGAGAAACACACTATGCAACATAGTCCCAGAATCAACGAGCTGAAAAAACTTGCAATCTGACTTCCATATGACAAAAAGCACTTGTCAGAAGCTACATATATATATATAAATAAATTTTGAAATGCTCCCTATGCAGACACACAATAATGAACAACTCCATATACAGAACTCACGATTGAAGAAGACACTATACTTACGCAGGACATAGGAGAGGACAACTCCAGGAATGTAACTTCCCAAGACAGTGAAAAATGTACATACACTGCAGACTAGTAGGCAAAACTGGCAAAAAAAACCACCATTACAATTGTCCATTAACACTTCCACTGTTTACATATTTAGATCATTTTGCAAAAGAAAAATGTTGCATGCTAAATGAAATCTAGAATGTAGTGGAAAATGGAAGTGTTTTGTCTTTTTAAAGTTAGGAAATACTTTAACACTTCTTGTGCAAATAAGTATCAAACAGTCCATTTTGGATAATCAGGATGTACCCCCTCTTCTATTACACATATATGCTATTTCCATTTATTTACTGTAAAGAATTAACAAGCTCGTGGGTATTGCTAAAATGACTGGATTAGTAAAATTGCTTATTGCTAAAATTACCTCCATTACACAAAACAAGGCTAAATAGTTGATATGCAGGTAAAAACCCAAATCACTGAGATACTACAATGCATGCTTGCTGCATGCTTACAAAAGCAAAAGTCCTTCTTATGAGTACAATTCTCTCTCCTGTTCAGTTGCTTCTTGAACCTGTATTCTCTCGCATGGTGGCAAGCATTCTCTGGATGCTTGTTGGCTACTCTAGCATCCCTGTAATGACTGAGCTGGTTTTTCAGTATAGAACTTGAGATTGTGCCTCTGCTGTGGCCGAGACATAGTCATGCATCTCTCATAACTTCACAGTGCTGAGTACAGAAATGTTCTGTTGAAATTTTACGGAAAGAATCCATTTGCTTTTGGAGTTGAATTGCAATAAAATATTTAATCCAAAGAAATTTTGCACACAGCATCAGAACCTCATTTGCTTATAACTGTATGAATGTATCATAATGTGTATTTTATTTTTCTCTTTGCTTGCTTGCTTGCTTGTTTTTTTTTTTTTTAAATCTATCTCACTTTTTTATTAAACAGTATTGAACTGTTAATCTTACTTGGGAGTGCTTACCTTGCCAGGGTTTTGTTCCTTGAAGTGGGACATTTCTTGAAGAAATACAAATAAATTCATCAGTGTTTCTGAAATGCACTGATTTATTCTGGGTCTGTAGTCTTGCCTGGAACTGATGACTTCCCAGCTGAGTAAAACAAACAAAAATACCCAACAACTTTGGTTATAGCTCATAAGTAAGTTCGAAATGGTTGAAAATACCATGTTATAAAGCTATAGCCTCCAGTGATCCAATGGTTGCTGCTATACTACAGAAACCTGTGCTTGATTCCAAAAATCTTGTAAGGTGCTAATTTGAACTTTTTTAATTAAAAAAATTTCTGCTTAGTAGTAGCAATTCTCAGTCCATACAAGCACTTACGGAAGTAACTATTGTTTATTCATTCTGGCCATATGAAAACTCTGAGTTCACGGCACAGCTCTCATCTAAATTAAACAGCTGAAGCCCAAGCTTGTTTCTTTATATTATTTTTTCTTAAAAAAATAAATCACAGTACTTTTCATTGCCACAGGATGGCCATAAATGTTAATACATTTCATTTCATGCATCTTATCTATGTGCTTTTTCATTTCTATTTCTCATCTTGTTCTGCAAACTGTCTCATCCATAAGAGACTGTTATCCAATGTAGAAAAAAAGAATTTGCACTTTAAGTCTTGATGTTTACATTAATTTTCTTACTGAATTTTTATTTTTCTATTATCTTGAAAGGACTGTTTCTAAAGCTTAGCTTATGACTGTTCAGTCCTTTAATAAAATATTTAAAAAATGTACTGAAGAATTTGCTGAAAACCACGTGAAAACGTTCGTATCTAATTTGGGGCTGATCAGTTTAGACAGTATCCAGTTTACATGATCACTTGGTTTACCTTTTTTGGAGTAGACAAAACATCTACAGCAAAGATGTTTTATGAAACAACAAATGAAAGGAAAAACATACACAGGACAGTCAACGTCAAATCAAATTGGTACAAATCACAGATGGACACCATGAAAATACTAAGAATCTGAAGGAAATTCTACACCTTTTTAACCAAGTTTTCTCTTGCATAATTCACTGCCCAGTACACACACTTTTGATCACAGTGAATGCAAGCAAGCTATAAACAGTCCCACAGTCATTTTACTCTGATAGATAATCCATTAAATGTCCAATGCATCACTGCATTAATAGTAACATTTTGTCATAGGTGAATCAAATCACAGGATAAATAAAAAACTGCATTATGAAAAAAATGACTGCACAAGGGTTGGTGTGCAGCAGTAAGGACATATGCGTAGACTGTCAGATCAAAAGCCAACTCGTATTTCCATGTGATTACTCTGCTGTTTAGCTACTAAAACACCAAAAGACCCTGTTAACAGTTCTTCTTGGTATTCAGAATGCAAATGCCCTCTGACAGTTCCCTGGGACAACTTCAATTTTACCAAGTATCAGTAGCTGACTGATGTGATTTTTGCTGTTCAAACTTCACCCTGTATGAACTTGGTGCTTAGAAGTAACACTTAATAATTTGCTTTAATATTAGGAATAACAAGATACGCAAATGTATTTATTTTTTTGTAGTGAACATAAGACTAACAAAAAACTATCACTTGTAAAAACATCTGTAGTGATTAACAACTTCCACATTAATATTATCCTTGTTCAACAGCAGATTGCTTAGTCATTTTTATTGGCACATATTGGAAAAGTCGAAAGCCATCATGAGCATTCAGAGTTTTCTTGGTTGAAAGCTGGTTAGTTGGTGGCTTTTGTCTACCTCCTCTACTGAGGACACACCTACCTTTGCTGTACTGTATTTTATTAGCTATGATTTATTGTTCATTCTTACTAATAAGACACCATTATGCTTCAGGATATGAACTTGTTAATGTCTCTCATTTCCTGGTATAAGGAAAGCCAGGAAGATTTTAAAGTTTTTGAACATAGGTTTGTGCTTTTGTGAGCCACCGGCAATATGGACACACGGGTACAACGGCCCTGATGTCCACAGGGTATCGAGACTCCTGCCTCAGGCGCTACTTGGGCATTTTGTTCCCTTAAGTGACAGACAAAATGATGCATACTTAAAATCAGAGTACTGCTTTTGAATTTGCTTAACACCTAACATTTTTCAAAACAGATGCAGACCTCAATATAGAAAATTTAACCCTACCAAAATAGGCTTATTTTCCCTCATAAATATTTTGCAGATTCCTTAGAATTAGCTCATTTTAACATTAGTTTCAGGAACTGACAAACCAAAAGTTGTTTTTTTGCTCCCTCACGTTGTTTTTACTTTTTCAGTCTCTAAAGCAAAAGTGAACAGTAATACATTTATATGGGCATGAGTTCACAGCCCGTTTGCACCAAGAACTGCAACAGCAACTGGTTTACTTACACAGCCCGAGGAGATAACGGTTGAAGGAAAAATGGATTTGAATTCTGGAATTATTTACATGAAAGTTACATGCATAATTGCACTGGACTACAAACGATAGATTGATTTTTCCTAAAAATACAAGCTTCTGACTTGCTTCTCTTTGCAGAACTGGGGCTGTATGTTGCTACTGCACTGAAAGGGAAGTGATCTTTCACATGGCAGCAAGCAAGATATACTAACATAGCACTGAAGGGATGATTATTAAAAGGGTCAGATGGCCTAAATTAGGCAGAAACTTTAATCAATGAAGGATCAAGTAAAATAATGTAGTCCACACTGTTTATTACATTACAACATCAAACAAAAAGTTTGAGATTATATTATTACATCAGATTTCTTGTCACAGATTAATAACAAAACTAGGTAAATGATAGTTAACTATATATAAAAATGTCTATTTCACTTTATTTTCCAGCTAAAAATATATCTATTTATAAATTTTCAGTTGTATAACCCAAAAGGGATGTCACTTCTATTTTGCAAACTATGATAAAAGGAGGAAATGAACTCTGGATTTCAAATCAAGTGCCTTAGGAAAAAAAGAACACCAGACTTAAGTTCTCCTTAAAATCTTCAACATTTCACCCAAACCCTAGACAACATGTCTGGCATACAATTCAGCAAGGTCTAAAGCCACTTTTTTTTACAATTATAATTTCTTGCTCTCATTCTTCCTAAACACACAGTGCAAGAGGATTTTGGGCTTATGTTTAATTGTACACTTTGGGCCAACTGCTGCCCCCATTTGAATTTGTGAATTTTTACATACTTGTATCCAAGCCAGAAATAAATCATCTCCCACATACACGGTATCTATTTTTACTCTACATGTGAATGTTACATACTTTCTTTTCTGTTGCACTGCAGACAAATTGATGACTGGCAAGCACCTTTCCTAACATAATGGAGGTTAATCACCTTCTCCTGTTTTCAGATACATAATCTGAGCAGCTTCATTTTTGTAAAAAAAAGTCAGGAATCATTTTGGTCAAAAATGTCTGGTTAAGCACACATGGAGAAACTTTATCTTTATGCCTACATTTAACTGTAGAGCTACTTCACCAGAAGGTGGTGACACGGCAACGCTGGGATTAGAGCAAGGCCTGGGAGCCATTTCACACAGAACACAAACTGCACGCATGAGGGATTCATAGTCAAACTATCGTATGCATATTGAGGCGCAGAACGTGACTTAACGAAAAACTAGTATTTCAACCACGGTGTAAAACTGGCTAAAGTTCAAAAGCCAAGCTGTTGCCCTATTCCTGACTTTATTATAGTATAGTATTTATGGTATTGCAGTAGTGTGGTTTCCTCTTACTTTACAAAATATACAGGGTGAGGGATTTTTCCTCCTCTTCAAGAAAAAAAATAGTGAACCTAAAATTCATAGGTTGAGAGTCTCATGTCTTGGACTAGGTGACTTTTGTAAGACAGAGAAAATGTTTTCCAGCCATGCACAGCACTGCAGACAGATGTTTGCTTCTGACAAAGGACAAAAATAAAACCATTAACTAATTCATAAAGAACATGAGGGATTAGCAATGTTAGACAGAACTTTTTGTCCACCTCTCATCCACCATAGCAATTTCAATTTGCATCCTCTCTGATAATTAGTGGCTTGAGAAAAGTAGTGTACTTTTTGTCTTATGAGAACTGCAATTTTTATGGATAGACTACTCTCCTTAAAGAAACATTGCCTCCAGCTTTTGTAAACCATTCTGTAGCATTAAGAATAAGTATTTTAAGAGTTGCCTGTTTATTCTAGTGTCAAAAACTGCTATTATGACAGTAATCTGAATTATAAAATAATTTTACAGCATTTACTCCCATCCTTTATTTCAACCTGTTGACAATCAAAGTGGAACTTGATGGAAGCACAAAGAGGGAAAACAGATAGGCCTGATGCCTACTATCAAACCAGAGCTTTGAAATACATAGGACAATTGTAGATCATTAGGTTACTAAGTAAGTTAATTGCAAAAATGGGGTGGGGGGAATGATGAAAGCATAAACTACAATAATAACACAAACTATTTTAATATATGCTAACCACCAATATAAAAACAATGTAAAGAGGAGGCGATACAACAAGGCACACTGGGATAACTAATAACAATTCAAAACAAACATGCAAAAATACTCAGAAAAATGGCGTATTTGCAGGAAAAGTTCTCTGCATTTGCTTCTCTTGGTTGTTAACAACTCTTTCTTTTGCCAAGTTTAGAAGATGTTGAAAGCATGAGCTGCAGTGCTTACATCTGCAAAGTATCGCTAGATGCTTTGGTCTAATGGTCCACATGTGGTGCAGACAAAGAAGAAACCAAGCAAGAGGAGTGGTTTGCTTCAAAACATGACAAACCCACTGTTAAGTTTGCTCTGCAGAATACTTGGTGTTTTCTTGTAGCACTAAGCCACAAGAAATCGTAAGACGTCTTAAGAAGTCAGTTCCACTACAACCACACTTCTCCACGTTACAAAAAACACCAGGGCCTATTTTAAGGTCTTATTCTCATCCTAGGCAACCAGAGGGGTAAGGAAGTCACTTTGGTGATCTTCAGTGCGACAGTCAGGTGCACACGCTGCCTCTTCTTGTTTACACCTCCCAGCAACTACAACCCCTGGAAACATCTGTCCCTCTCATCTCTCTTCCCCAGAGACCACTTCAGTGGCCAGAGGGTTGGAATAAGGGGGCAGCAAC